GGGGGCAGTGCCTCCACACCCTGCCCTCCCCCAGGTCCTCCTCCAGCAGAGACCCCATTCCCTGTTCCGGGACCGTCGAGAACCAAGCTGGCAGCAGGGCAGCCATGGCAGAGGAACGGACTGAGCTGGAGGAGAGGATCATCATCAAGGACCAGCACACCAAGGAGATCGACCTGGTGAACAGAGACCCAAAGCATATAAACGAGGACGTTGTCAAGGTAGGACTTTCTCAGCACTGTGTTTCAGAAGCATCGCTGCCTCCTTAATGCGATTGGCATATTGGTATCGTCCTTGTGCACTTGGCTTGAGCTCAGTCAGGGCTGTAAGTCCCTGGTGCAGGTGCCTGAAGAGGCGACCCTGTCTCAGGTGCAGGGAGATGACCTGCCACAAGCCACCACCCTGCTGCCTGGCACATCCAGGAGCCCCCTGGGCGGCATGCATGGCTCCATTTAATGCCATATCTCCCGATCCTTGAATGCACTCTCCAACTTCACGGGCTGTAGCTAGAAAATTTATGGAGATGCCTTCCTTTGTACCAGTAAGGAGGGAGCCAAAAATTAAACAGGGTCAGCCCATATCACTAATTTACAGGGAACCTTGGAAAAAGGCTAATCCTCAAGACCTGACGACCTGAGCACCAGAGCATGCAGATACACATTGTGCTCTTTGGAAGAACGTTGTTTCTCTCACACGGCAGCAGGAGGGTGCAGCAAGCCTCCTCAGTCTATTTTTGATCAAGAGGACTTTCAGTCTAGCTGAACAGGGAAACGTTTTCCTGAATGCTGACCACTGAAACACAGTTACTCTAAGCTTTGTTAGCATTATGCCAAAGATAATTTTGGCCCAAAGGAGAATAAAAGGAGATGGAAGGCTTTTGTTAAAATTGTATTTGAGAGATCAAAATGGATGATGTGCCAGAAGGGACAGCATGAACCGAGCCTTCTTTGTAACAGGCCATGACCTCGATCATAGTGCTGAAATGCAAGCCTGCATTTGTGCATTGAAACCCTATTACAGCTAAAACCACTGCATGGTCAGTTTAAAAATCCCCATATGCTGTGACAGTGACAGCCTTAGCTGGGCACCCCTCCAGCACAGCGAGACATGCTGTCACAGCTGCCGGGCACCTCGGTACCTCAAGCGCGTCCAACATCTGTGCCGTGCCATGACAGCGCATCCCAAGAGCCCTGGCTTGGGGCTCAGCCCTGCCATCAGCCATGCTGCTGGCACGGCGAGGACCAGGACAGCCTGCTCACCCCTGTGCCAGACAGCACCTACCTGCTTGCCAGCTCGGAGATGTCTACAACTGGGGGGTAATTCCAGCACCTTCCAGGCCATCCCTAACCCCTCGTGCCAGGCCCATTTCCCCACCCCTGCCTTTCCCCACTTGGGGATTCCCAAAAGCCTGTAATAGGATTTTCAAGCTCACCCACTTACATGGCCGCACTGCTCCTTCATCTGCTTTGGAAGCTTTCAGAACGTTTGCTCAAGCTACCTAACATTCCTCCCACCTTAAAAATAGCACAGCAGATAAGGCTGGGGAGGGAGAACAGAGCCAGCCCTGGGATGGGGAGCACAACTCACCCCACTGACACCAGACAGCATCCTGAAGGGAAAGTCAAAGCCTCCCCACTCACCAGTGGACAGCAATACCCTGGAAAACACCCTGGGCATTAAAGTGTGGGATGCTCTAAATGTACAGGAGGTAGAGAGGCACCCATCAGGGGGGAAGCAGGGCTCTTTGCAGGCTGACGGGTTCACATGGCCATAGATAAACCCAGCCCCAGCATTACAGTGCCACAGCCAGAATTTGGGACCATGTTACAGCTAGAGCAGTAGCAGCACCCACAGGGGCTTTGCAGAGCTTTGGAAGCCTTGTCCCAGGTAAAATAGAGAGCAACAGCACAGGAGCTGCTATTGCTGGTCCCCAAACACCTCGGGGCAGTGCCCAAGGCTCTGCCTCTGCCTCTGCCTCTGCCTCTGCCTCTGCCTCTGCCTCTGCCTCTGCCTCTGCCTCTGCCTCTGCCGCTCTTCTAGACCCACCTCTTGTGCCCTGTTAGCAAAGGGAGCAGCAAGGTAGAGACTCACTCTCCTTATAGCCTGCTGCTCCCGTCGTTAATTGCCCCCTGATTAGCTCATCAGGCAGCTGTGCAGAGACCTGCTGCTCCAGCCTGCCTGGGCTCTCCTGGGAGCTGCATCCGGAACCCCAGGATCAGTGACCTGCTGCACCCTAACTCACATCAGTATCTCTCCCAGCACCTCCTGCCCACTCCAGGAAATTAAAGGCGATGCAGAATGATTTTATGATCACAGTGCTTCTGAAACCAGAATAGATATTGCAATTTAACATAAAAGTACAAAGAGACACATCAGCTTCCCAAGGAAAGGCCACGTTATTTTTCAAGGCAAAGAGCTTGGTTCACATATTCCCTAGGAATGAGCTACACCATAATGAGATCTCTAAGTGTAGTTCAGAGGCTTTTAAGAGTATTTGTCATTCAGAGACACTCCCAGTGCCTGCACATAATAACGCTCTCCCTGTAAGGGTACAGCCCAGCCGATCTCTCCCTCTTCAGACAGAACACAGACAGACAGAATGGAGCACCTCGCCTCTGCATATAGAAATAAATAAATCGTAAATCAGGAGGGCTGTTGGATTATTATCAGCACAAACCACCTTCTTGATGAGCAGGCAGCCTATGTCCCTGAATGCTAAAAAAGGGTAGGAATAGGCTCTGGCCTCCTCCAGAGTAAACACTCCCACGCACAGCTCCCGTTCCGAGGGCCTGTGCCCAGCCCTGGCACTGGGAAGCACCAGCCACAGCTCGGGCGCTGGCACTGGGAACGTGTCCTGGAGAGGCTGAGCCTGAGCTCTTGTGCCGGGGGTTAAGCCTGTGCGCTGTGCTGCCCATGGGCTGGGGCCAGGCACTGCCGGGGGCCCTGTGCCACCCCCCGCTTGGACCTCTGCAAGGGCAGGGGCTCCCCGGCTGCACCAGGGCTTGTCCTTGCTCAGGGGGTTGATCTGTCCTTCCCCCACAGCCCTTGTTCTCCCCAGCCCCCTCCATTCTGGCTCTCCTCTCACATTGCAGCAGATGCCTCCTCCTTGCACTAGAGACAACCCCCCCAAACCTCCATCTTCTTGACACATCCTGCTCAGACGAGGGAGACAAGTGACTTAGATTCATAAATCCCCAGCCACGTGGACAACGGTGAGACTAGTCTCAAAATCCATGCGCAGACATTTAATAATTTCCCACAATGTACTCACTGGATACATGATAATTGGCTAAATATATAACGAGTTATGGCAGGTGATACAGTATGCCTTGTGTTACTTCATGGAAGTGAGGGAAAAGGGGAAAAATAAAAGAGAGAGAGAGAATAGAGAAGTAGAGATCACTGGTCCAGGTTCCTGCATTTGTCCCATCAGAGTCTGTCCAGGATGCATCCATCTTCTTCACTTCTTCATGTCTTCTTTTTTTTCTTTCTATATTTCACTTCTCACTCCCTCCCCTCAATTTTTATACACTTTCCTTGGGTCCGACCCCTAGGTAGACCTACATACCTACATATCCCATGGATGGGGAAGGGTAAGGCGCTTCATTGGATGATGTAATTAGCATGATATTGTTAATCTTCATTAGCATATGCAGGGGTGTCAACTTTAATACGCACTTCATGGATAATGAAGCAAAGGTCATTCACATTACAGATGGCCCTTGAAACTTTACACAATACCCCAGAGCAGAACTGTCCTGCCTTCACAGGGCTCCCTCCTCCAACCCATCCTGTGCTATCCAGGCAGCTTTATTATCCTATATATACATATATATGTATAGCTGTCCATATATAGTTTTGTTACTTGTGTTTCAGAAATTCCTTGTTTCAGAGAGACCTTGCTCTCCCCATCCTTTATCTCTCTCAGGCTGCTTTTTCTCACAGGCCTGCTTCTCTCAGGCCCTGTTTCGGGGGGTTACAAGTTATCTCTCACACTTCACTCCTCCCAGGTGGATTTTGAGGATGTGATAGCCGAGCCTGTGGGAACATACAGCTTTGATGGCGTCTGGAAAACCAGCTACACCACCTTCACCGTCAGCAAGTACTGGTGCTACCGGCTGCTCTCTGCCATCCTGGGCATCCCCCTGGCAGTCGTCTGGGGCTTCCTCTTCGCCCTCATCTCCTTCTGCCACATCTGGGCAGTGGTGCCCTGCATCAAGAGCTACCTGATAGAGATCCAGTGTGTCAGCCGAATCTACTCCCTCTGCATCCACACCTTCTGCGACCCGCTCTTTGAGGCACTCTCCAAGATCTGCAGCAACGTTAGAGTTGCTCTCCGGAAGGAGATCTAGGTCCCTCCAGCCATCCCAACCGGCCCTCCCACACAACCACCCTCTGCGTAGCGTGCCCTGCCCTCGGGCACACGGACACCCGTGCCCAGAGAAGCAGGGTGCCAGCGCCGCCAGGGATGGTCCCTGCAGACTTGAGGCATGCTGGGCTGCCCCTTTCTCCATCCCAAAGCCAGCAGCTTTAGGAGAAGAGAAGCCCATGGAGGCTCAGCAAGCAGCCCAGGGAGAGCTCCCTGCCCTCCTGGACCTCTGCTCCTGCAGAAGGGACCCCAGCATCTCCTGGGCCACAGCCTCAGGCCACAACCTGCAGTGGCAGAGCAAGGGGTGCAGAGATGCTGCTGGACAACAGACCAAACCCCGCCTGCTTCTGCATCCCTTCGCTCCAGCATGACACTAAGAGAAATACTTGCATATGAATTACTATTTGCAATTACTATTGCAAATAATTGTTGTTGTGGAAGCTTCTGTATTAAATCACGCTGCACAAAAATTTTATGGATAGAATAGTGAAAACAAACTTATTTTTCATGTGTGTTTACATTTCAGCAAAGCTTTGCAATCCAGATCAATCAGTGCATGAACTGTTGCATCTGCTTTTTGGGAGTACATGCTGAGCCGGGGCCACCAGCAATTGCAAAAACCTCTGTGGCAGTTTGAAACCCACTACTTAACCATGGGGCATTGTCCTGCTTTGTGGTGAGGATTCCAGGGGCAGCAAAGCACAGGCAGGCAGCATCTCTGCACATCACCCCAAGCGCGCTGGACAGCAGAGCGGGCAGCTGGGCAGCACCGTGGCAGCAGCAAGAACCGATGGCTCTTGATAATTTTGCTTGAGAAATTACAAAGCTTAGCTTTAATTAAAGCTTTGGCTCATTTTTAGGGGACAATACATGCTTGCTTGTGTGGTGCTGGGTAAGCTCCAGCCAACAGTAATGCAGTTTATGGCCCAGTGCTGGGATGGAGTGACTGAGGCTGAGGGCGTACGACCATGCGGACCCTTGGGCAGACCCCCATCCAGTGCGCTGCCTAGCACCTTCCCTCCAGCCCATCACCTTCCCACCACATCTCAGGGAGCGGAGGAAGGAGCCTCCTCCAGGACACTGCCCGCTCCCAGCCACTCTGGCTCCAGTGAAAAGACAGGGGCGAGAGGAAAAAAAAGTCCAGTTCAGCACCACTTCCTCCCCTGTATTGTCAATTAATTTGTTTAGTCCATCTTCCCTGAAACCATACTTTAACTTTGAGGCACTTAAACGTTTTTTTTGCTCTGGCCTTAAGTGGTTTGCTGAATCAGGGCCCAGGAGGTCTCGTTGTTCAGAGGTTATTCTCAATTGTATTCATGTGCATTTTTCCCTTGGCTTCCAACAAAGACTCAGAGCCAAAAATCTTTTCTAGTGCCATGCCAAGGACAAGAGCGAGCCAGATTTTCTATTGGTGCTCTTCCAATGGCTTGGGATTGTGGACTTCCATTATTCTGTGGCAATATAGCCCCCATGCTCTAACAACATTAGGCCTTGAGATGGACGGAGTGATACAAAAAAAAAAAAAAAAAAAAAAAAAAAAAAAAAAAGTAGGGGGGAAAAGTCTCCAAAAAAACTTTATCATGAGCATTTTTTAAAGCTTTCTGTGGGAATAAAAATGATTAAAAACAATACTGGGATTATAGTCTTTTTAATTGTTTTTTGTTCTAGTAGTTCACATCCTGAACCCCAAAAAACCTCCAGAATCCTGATCTCCCCACCACAGTGATCTGTGCGCTCCCCCCACATGGAGCACACACTGCTCAGGTGTCAGCACCTCTATTTCACTTTTGACCCTTATGAAAAGCTTTTCAACAGCACGTTCAACATCCTTCTGCTTCAATGAACCTGGCACTCCTCTCCACATCCCCATCTTGTTGCAGCCCGGGGACGGTAGAGGAGCTTGGCCATGGGCTGCAGCATCACTAGTGAAGGCACGGCCTGACCCCACAACCACAGCCAGGAATCGCAGCCAGAGCTTGTGAAGCAATGTCCTGCCTCCCTCAAACCTTCCATCTTCCACTGTCCAGCAATCCCGGTAAAATCTATCACTGTATCACATTCCCTTCCTGGCAGACAGAGGATGCGCCAGGACCCCAGGTTTACCATAAAATGGGACCCCCCTGCCTTGTGTTGTGCAGGAGATAATTATTCTCAAAGAGAAAGAAGGTGAACATGGGAGGAAAACACTACATGCTTTCCCAAGGATTGAAACCAGTCTGGTAAAATGTGATGAGACTGAATGTGCTGGGCCATATTCAGCAAATGTGCTCATAGATCCCTTGAAGCTACTAAAAAAAAAAATAAAAAAATCAGGCATTCCAGGATATGAAAGGTGAAAATGTACCTGTTGCTGACAGTGAAAAAATAAAGTACACATTTAAATGCATTTTTCATATTCATTCCCAACAAGTAAGGCCAAATCATATCACCCTTTGATTGCATGCACACCCCCCGGCCACAGACCCGGGTGGGAGCAGGAGCAAAGGCCGGAGCAGCACCTGCCCCCGCCGGATCCCAGTGCCACCAGATTCCTGGAAAAGCTCCCACTGTCTTCAGACAGAGCTGCACATCCCCCTGGCTGTGCCACCCCTGGCGGGCACATCACGGCAAGCCTCATGCCATGGCATAAAGCAGCGTGCAGGTCCTGGTGCATGGTGCAGGACTCAACAAACAAAAGCATCGTTACGCTGAGCATACTTGGGTCTTGTGTTTAGAGCACTGTTTCCCATAGGTTTCCTTCATTTTCTTAGTGATGCTCCTTCTGCACTTCCCCTCTCACTTTCCATCAAGACACGGTCAGAAAACTTTATTTACAGCTGTTTCTTAACAATAAAAAATCCATGCCATAAGCATGACCTTGTGCGTTACAGAGCAATAAGACTGTATCGGTGTAAAAGATTAAATGCGATCTGTGGTAAACCCAAAGCAAAAGCTTGTCCTCAGGGGACACAGCAGGGGTTTCTCTGTTAAAGCCCACGGGGCCCCGCTGTCACCCCACATGCCTGCCTTCAGAGGAACTTTTGAGCCTGCTCAGAAAATATATTATTGCACAGATACCCTGGCCCTGCAGCCATGTCCAGTCTCCTGGCTCCTGCTGACCCGCAAGCAGCCTTGCACCGCCCACGGGGCAGCACTGGGGAGTGCAGGGATGCCCGGACATTAGTGTTGTCCCCCAGGGAGGGCTGTCCCCAGCCTTGTCCCCGCTGTCCCCCCAGCCTGTGGCAGCAGGACTGCCCTGCCCTGTGCCAGTGGTGCCACCGGTAAGCCTGGGCTGGAGGACTCTGGGCTGCACTGCACAGAGATGCAGGGATGGGGCATCTTCGAGCAAAGCAAGCGTGCCAGGTGCTAGCATCCCCCAGAATTCCTGCAGAGAGTGGAGACGGGGCCAGTGCCTGATGCCTGTGTGCCCAGGGTGGCACCTATCACCCTGTGCTCCAGCCCCCTGCATCCAACAGGAACATAGCATGCCCACCTCAGCAGTGTGGCATTGCTCAGGGAAAAACCTGTCCCTCCCAGTGGTATCTAAAAGCCACCGATGGCAGCGGTTTGGGGGCTGAGAAGCAGGTTCCTGGTGCCCAGTCCCAGGCTGCACTGAAATTTGGACTACAGAAGTCCTCCCCCACTCCCACCTCAGTTAAATAAGGACCGCTGTACATTCTTACAGGCGCACAGACATATATACACCTATGTATAGAGACCCTGCCTCGCTTGTCCGAATCCCAGCTTTTCACAGGGAAGCGCCAGAGGCAGAGCAGTGGAGTCCCAGCTGGAGATGCCCTCACATCATGGATGGCTGCATGAAGCTCCTCTGGCTCGTGCTCTTGCAGCTGAGGACGAAGGAGGAGGAGTTGCTCTTCTTGCCGACGCTCAGGTCACACGCCGGCCGTGACTTCAGGTAGTGTGCAGAGCAGCAGAGAAAGCGCCGCATCAGGTCGTGGAAGAGGTGCCCCGTGTACAGCATGTAGATCCAGGGGTTGCAGCAGCTGTTGAGGCTGGCCAGGAGCATGGCGATGATGAAGGGGGAGGCTGCAAGGCAGAAAGCAGGGCAGCGTCAGGGCACAGCGTGGGCAACAAGAACCAGCACCCGGGGAGGTGGTGGGCACCAGGCACCAACCACAGTGGGCTCTGCCGGCACCGTGACACCTTGTCCCCCGCCAAGTATGGGCTGTCCTGGCTGTGGGAACACCACTGTCAGTACATCGGTAAAGAGGAGCTGGTGGGAAGCCAGTTGGGTTTAAACAACTTGGGCTTAGGTTTTTTTCCCCACCCCCAAAGAGCTGCATTTCCCCTGCTCAGGTCCTGTGCCGCTGCCTGCTCAGTGTTACCCTAGAATTGCCTTGCCAAGAGGCAGAACTGCCCCCAGCATCACTGACACAATTTGCCTTTATCCTGCCCAAAGGAGGGAGGAGGGAGCGCGGCCTTTTGGAGTCGCCATGGTAGAGAGCGGGACCTGGAACAAAAAGAGATGGGTGGCTCATTTTTCCCCCCCAGCAGCCAGTTTGGGGTGGACTAGTGGCTTTCATCCTCTCGGGCTGTGGGGAAGCCATGGGGCAGCACCTCTGTGAAGTGGCTGTGGGGAGGGACAGTTTTTATTCTACTCCCTGTGTTTTCAGCCCATCTTCTAGTCTCATGCTCTGAGGAGACGTGCCAGCAGTAAGGATATGCAGGTGGGTTTGGCTGCTTCTGGTCCTTTTCTGTCTCTGCAAAAATCCACTTACAGTTTTTAAACTAGAAAAGAAGTGTGAATAATGAATACCAGTTTCCAAATTCACCTTTAGCTAACTCATCCATAATTCCTGCTCTAGTGATGTGCAGTCCAGCTGCAAGCATACACTAAAAGAAATCCACAGGGAATGGCTTACAAATCCCAGGCGCAAGACCTGAAATACATCATAACATTTCTATCCACTTAAAAAAAAAACCTTCCAAGGGCTGACTCAGCTCTACTGTCTCTGTGGGAGATAAATTTAATTCGATGGAGCTTACTGCAGGGCAGATCTGAAGCGTGGGTCTGTCCCCTCTCTGTCGGGACTGCCAGAGACCCCCCAGAGGCGCTGCAAAGCACAGCTCTGTTCCTCAGGAACGTTTGCATTCCCTGGGCTCTGGAAGACCCCCTCAGCGTGGGGCTGGGGATGTTGCCCTGGCAGGAGGGGTCAGCAGAGGCAGGAGGCTGTGCCCAGGGAAGGGAGCTCTGCTGTGAACACTGCTACAGAACTGAAATGAAACGAGGAATGTCACTAATTCCCACATCCAGAGATGTTGTCGCTCACCAGCAGAGCACCAGGGCACCAGCTCCCAGGATTAAGGGACCAATGTAACAGAGCTGTGCTGCTTCACAGCCTCCCCAGTATCTTCAGAGATGCTTGAAGCCAACTCTGACTCAAAGCTCAAAATGCCACCTGTAACATATATTATCTGTAAGGTGTGTGCAGCAGAAACCTTATTCTGACCAAAAGCCTGCGAAGGACCCCCAGGGCTTAGCCAGCACCTGAATCACAACCCATAGCTCCCACCCGCACTTCCAGAGGCTGTAGGTTTGTGTGGCCAGCATTTGGGGATCCCCACTGCTGGGCCTGGGTATGCAGGACCAGGCTGACATCCCCAGCCTCTCTCCAGACACGCAGCAGCCCGACGAGCCCAGCACCACAGCTGCTCTCCAATGTGCTCAGCACTCGCATTTTGGCACTTTCGGCTGCCCCATGGCAGCCACAGGGAAGGGACAAAACAGGGGCTGCCTGGCCCTGACACTGCAGGCACCCGGGGTGTGGGACAAGGTGATAGCAGGGCTGGGGAGAGGGAGAGCAGGGACAGGTGAGCAGGCAGCAGTGTGGAACCCCAGCCCCATCCCGCCACTCCACCCAGCACTGCTCCGTGCAGGGGTGCAGCTTCAGCACTTCACTCACCTTATTTCCCTGAAGCTGGTTTATGAAGCGAGGAAAGCCTGTGTAGAACACTACTGAGGTGGATCAGTGGTAGCAGGGCAAGACCTCCCTTATTATCACTATACTAAGAAAGGACGGCTTCTCTAGTTTGTTTTCTTTACAGCCTTATCTCTTACTCCTGACACATGCCAAACCACAGCAGACTTTGCACCCTGGGACAGTGAAAGCACAACCCGTGGCAGATGGGAGCAGCATCAGGGTTTTACTCACAACTGCATGTCCCTCTGCAAACGCCAAGATCTGCGTCTCACCACGATGCGGGACGCAACGCATAACCAGAAGTGCTATGTGTGCCTGCTCAGGGTTCATTGGGATTCAGGTAGGTATTAACAGCCTTTCTCTTGCCAGGGGAATATCTTTATGACATCGTATGCAGACAAAACTGAACATTTTTTTAAGGAGGTGACCCCCTCACAGAGCTTTTGTGATCTGCTCATCACCTCCCAGGGTGCAGGCCCTTGGTAGCCGGTGCTGCACAGGAGCACCCTGCCTGCCTGCTCCTCTTCCTCCTCTGCTGCCATGCCCACGCAGGCTGCAAAGCCTGCAAGATGAGAAACGGCCAAATCCCCTTTCTGCTCTGGGGTTTGCCTCTGCCAGGTGCCCCGCAATGCTGCTCAGCCAAGGCAGCCCGAGCCTGGCTGCAAAGGGAAAGAAATCTGGGAGTCAGGGCAGAAGCGCAGCAGGAAAACAGGAACAGAGCAGCAAAACCCATTTCTCCTGTAGAGAGGTCTGACCCTGCCGCCCCACTTGTGCCTCTGGGCAGCCAGTGAGGAGGAAGGTGGGCCTGGGAAGAAGGGCTGGGGTCTTCCAGCATTAGCTATCTTCAATAACCCACCTGAGGTTTTTCCTCCCCATGCCAAGAAAGCCTTCAGCAAATGCTCTGGCAAAACTCCCACCCTTTACTGCAGCCCCTGAGCAACAGAAATGTGAAGGAAGGGGGAGTTTGCTACAACTCAGCACAGCCGGAGCTTAACTTGTTAGGTAAAAGCAAAGCAAAGCAGAAAAGGCAAAGCATCACAGGGCTGACTGCACAGCGTGAGCGAGGGAAAGTTTCCCGGAGCAGCAGGCAGGGTGCGATCAGTGAACAGCCCTGCCGTCCCCCTGCTCCTCGCTGCAGGAATCATCAGAGCAGCAGAGGTTTGTTTGCCCATGAGTCAGGTGGAAGGCCTGGAGATTGGAGATTTGAAATACAGCAAAAAGGAGAGATCCTGCTTCATCCCAGGCTGTATTTAAAAACGAGAAGCTTTGACCAGCCTAAATCGGGTGGAAAACTAAGAGATGGCTGTCTGGAGCACCTAGGGAGGTTTAAAAAGCTGTGCTTCACTTCTCCCCTGAAATAAAAGGATCAGAGAGAAGCAATAAAGGCAGGATAGGAGAGATGGAGCCAGGCTACCAGCTTCAGTCTATGGGAGGACAGATGTACGCAGGCTGCTGGAGACACCAGGTTTTCCACAGAGCAATGTATAGCTGGAACAGGGTTAAAAAAGGGAAAAAAGCACATGGTGTGAGCAAGCCCATGCCCTCCGCTGCAAAGCCCCTGCTGTGGCAGGGCTGCCAGGGGGCCAGGACAGGGATTCAGCTCCTCATCAGTCTGTGACATCCCCAGACTCAGCATTTCTGTTTAGTTGGGTCAGTCTGTCCAAGGAAGAGTTGTCCCTGGAACCACTTTTGTGCCCTTTCTCCAGCCTCACAAACTTGTGCAGAGTTTTTCTTTTAAGCTTTCCCAGGTGGTTCTCCCTGTGGGTGTAGAGGGACCATCAACCACCTTCTCTGGGGACAACACAGACTTGCCCCAGCTACAAGTGTTCAAGACCAAGGAGCGTAATATATTTTAATCTGTCTGCAACCTTTGTGATGACAGGATCAGCCAGTGCCAAGAATAAAAAATGGCAAATCAGTGACACCAGCTCCTTTAGGAAAAGTCTTTTCTCATAAATCAGCAGCTTTCTGCAGGAACCGTGCTCCAGTCAGATAAAATAACAGCAGCACAGTCCTGGGGTGGGTGGAATTGGGAGGAGAGGAGAGGGAAAGGAAGGCAAAAGAGTAGAAAGCAAAGAAGTCAGTGAGGACAAAATAATACAGCAAAGGAAAAGAAGTCGGACACTGAGACTGAGCAGTCTTCTGTGGTCACCCCAGCCCTGGGCACCGGTGGGAGCAGAGCTCCCACCCCTCCCCAGCACCCAGGGTGGGCAATCAACACACCCAGGGACCCCAAAGCAGCCGCAGGAGGGCTGAGCTCACACACCCAGGGACAGCAAAAACCTCCTGAGCCACCATCCGCCCACCCAGAGCCCTAAGTTGCAGTGGCCCTGGATTTGCCAGAGGCTAAGCTAGCCCCTGCTGCACCTGAGAGGCTTGGGCATGGCCACTGCTGCCTGTTGGGTGTCTTTTTCACGTTCAGGACTCTCTCCCGTCTCCCTCCCAGCCAGCCCCCTGAGACCCAGCTTGGAGCAGAGTTTCTGGTGTTGCTTGCAGCCCGCGAGGCTGCTGTGGGTGTCCCTCTGTGCAGATGGGGGGCTACAGGAGGGGAGAGGACGTACCTTCTTGCGGAGCATTCGTGTCCCACACAGACCACATCTGCACAAAGAAAAAGGGAGCCCAGCACACTATGAAAGCCAACACTATGATGAAGGTCATTTTGACTGTCCGGATCTTGGCTTTAGAGATGAGCCTGGTGCTGCTGACCCTGGCAAATGCCGTCCCGCTGCGGGAGCTGGAGCTCAGCCCCATGTTGGGCCCATGAGCCGTCTTCAGCTTCACGTTCTGCCAGATTTTGAAGCTGATTAAGCCATAGCAGATGCTCAACATCAACACGGGTATGATGTAGACCATGAGGGTTATCCAGGTGACATAGGCTTTAGGTCCCCAGGGCTGAATGAAATCTGCCCAACAGTCGTAAACCCCGTTCCCCACATCCCTCAGAGAAAATATGTGGATCTGAGGGATGCTGACCAGGAGGCATAGCAGCCAGGTGAGGAGGACAGAGACCCGGTCCGCTCTCCTGTGCAGAGACCTCAGTGGCTGACAGATAGCCAAGCACCGGTCCAGCGACATCAGCAAGAGCATGTAGGTGGAAGCAAACATACCCACTACCTGCAAGTACTTGATCAACCGGCAAAGGAAATCTGGTCCATAAAACCTGAAGGTGATGTCCCAGATGAGCTGGGGCAGCACCTGGAAAATGGCCACGACCAGGTCAGCGATGCTCAAGTGCTTCATGAAGAAGTACATGCGGGAGTGCTTCTGCCGGGTGGTGTGGATGGCCAGCAGCACGCAGAGGTTGCCGGTCAGGGCGAGGAACAGGATGAGGCAGAGGACTGTCACCTCCACCTTGGCCATGTCCTCGTTCCTCTTCAGGGGGTCCGTGGTGCTGTTCCTCCCGGAGGTCTGGTTCTCCAGGCGGAGGCTGCCGTTCCCCAGAGAGCTGTTGACCGTCCACCCGCCGCTCCCCACGAAGTACAACTTCTCCATGGCCACCCTCGTCCCGCATAGAGCCCGGGCTGTCTCTTATACAC